TTTTAGCTAGATATCTCTTCTTATCACAGATATCGATAGTGGCGTGATACATAATGCAAACCACAAGAAAACGCCATTATAAATACTGTGCATGCGCAATCCTGACCTATGCCACTTGGAACATTTTGTCACACGTACATACAATAAGCTAAGCACCACAAAYATCTCAGAGTGCTTTTTTCGTTAAAACCTTTCATAACAAAATTCATAGCAATATTCTTATATATATATGTCCGGCACTTGTATCTGAGAGTGTTTTTTTTAACGTACAAACGAGTCAACTACGTACTTACATTGTACGACGGCAGAAGCACCGGCGACYAAACACAATGACAGGAAAATCAACTTGATCATCTTTCTAACATGACAAAATAACAAGTATGTATAGATCTGAAGTCAAAAGAACGATATGATATTCTATTTAGGGACTTTATGCAAGAAAGGCACGCTAAGTTTTCCAGTAATTATTATTTTTCTACACTTTCATTTCCTTTACCTAAAAAAATATTAAGAAAAATTAAAAACTATATTTCTTTATTTCATTATTATCATTCCCTCGTAGAAGGGAATACCACGCACTACCACTATATCAGGAGCAGAACGGGGAAAGAAAAGGGGAAGAACGACACATCCAACAATCTCAACTCATGCATGCCGTTAAATGTATCCATGCCCCCCTCCCCCTCCCCCCGAGGCCTGAACCACGCATAATGGTTAGAGACTGGTACCCAACTATACCACCCGCTAAGTTATTGCTTAAGGTAGTACTTCTTTGATCGCTAATTCTTTGTTAGTTCTTCTTTGCTCCTTGTAACAGTTTCACCTCTATAGCTACATGCGCATGTTAAATTTCAAAAAAGGAGTTTGGTAGATATTTTTTCCAGATCTACGCCTCTCTTACTTACCACTTCGTAGTACTCTTRCAATGATACTGTTCACAGCTGTTAGCTCTACTGGGTTACTTCAGTTGAATACCGAGATAGTTAATCCCTGCAAAGCGACACGCTTTTATACTTTTCAAGTTAGCACAGCTGAGTAAACCTCGCCATTGAATAGATCTTCTTTGTCAACAAAACAACAACATCTTTCTCCGTGTTATTAAAAACCAATAAGTTAAATAAATACACTGGGAGAAAAACATGTTTGTTAGGTGCAATTGCTAAATTGAATTTGTTTTATTATTATTAGCAGCAAAAGACGCTTCTAGAATGAATTCACCGTTTGTATCCTTAATGTCCTAACACACTTGTTTTATAAGAAGCAATCTTTACGTGTGGCTTGGTTGGTTAGAGTGCTTTTTGCTACCGAGCATGACATGAGGGCTATAGCGGTTTTTTTGATGCTTCGTGAGATCACATTAACCAACAAAATAAACGAGATTCAAAAGTGGGTTTTCTACAGAGTGCCTTTTGCTCCACTTATTTTCATGGCCATTTGGTATTAATAAATGGAAAGTTTGCAAAAAAGAAAAAGGAAAATCTATCTGAGAACCCGAAGAAAAACGCTCACAGCACAGGAGAAAACCAACACGCAATTCGCGCTATTCACGTACGACATGGAGCCCAGGAATCAAAACCGGGTTGTCAATCTTGCAAATTAATAAATCCCCTTTGTCAACAGGACCAGAACATCTCCGATGTTTCTCCCATACGACAAAACAAAAAAAAAAAACAATTAAACAAAGTAAATACGAACAATAATAATGTGTTTTTAGTGCTTGAATAATTATTAAAGATGCGATTTGTTCGTTTTCTTTAAGCATATTTTCAGGAGGCCCGAAAAAAATTTCAGAGAAAAATAAGAATAAACACAAATCGCATCTATATATACGAATAAAAGTTGTTAGTTGCATATTAGTTAATAAAAGTAGTTTGCAATAGACTGCCTTCAATCAAACACCTCATTCTACTTGGATGTACTCAAAGTCTTTGTAATCGCTTTCGGAACTTTCCTTCGTGATATCTGACTGAGAAAGTTTGTTAGGAAAGCCAACTCACTGATCCAAACGTGTATAAATGGCGTCAACATGAATGATTGACGAATAGTCTATTGCAAACTACACGACTCGATTTGTGTCTGGGGTGGCCACGTAGTAATGCAAACCGCGGTAAACAAACTAGCGTTTCTATGTCTGTGCTCTCTGCATGCTAAGAGGTCACTTTATCGACGTTTGCCTACTAGGCAAGAGGTCTATAGTTTGATCCTCAGTGACCTCACACACTTGTTTTATGGAGCAGGTATGGCTTGGTTGGTTAGTGTGCTGTCTGCTAAGCAAGAGGTCCATAGTTTGATCCTAATTAACCTTGCACATGCAATTGTTTTGAGGGGTGAATAGCACTAGGTTTTTCAGTGTGCTGTCTGCTAAACAATATGTCAATCGCTTGATTCCGTGTCTTTCTCTCTTAMTCTTACGGCACCTGTTCAACTTGTCTTCGCAAGGGACAATAGGCTTTCGCAACAACAATAAATAAATATTTTAGATTAAATTAGAATAATGGATAATTTTTGTGTAAACATGGTGGCTATAATTTGATTTTTGGTTTACTTACTCAAAGAGTTTAATTTGTCATTCTTTAGACTAACGCAAATTTGAACTATTGCTGAGTTGAGGACAATCACGAAGTGGTCACTTGACATTTTCGAATTGATCTTGAAATACGTCGCACTTTTGTTTTGAGTAGTAAATATGAAGTTTTTTTTTGTGTCACTTGCTAAGCCAGGGTGCATTCGCAAGAGGTGAAGTTTTGTTTGCCTTACAAAACAAACATGTCATCTTCGTGCTGGGCAAAGTGCGAATGGCTTTTTTGCGTGTGCATCAGGCCAAAATCTGTCCCCGTCAACCAAGTTTCAGATAAACCACTGGCCTTCAATGGAAGCCTGCACTGGCTTGGGACAAACCTCAAAACTACTAGTTTGGCCAACTGTCAGGTTGGGCAAATTTTGGTAGCGTGAAACACACTTTGTCGGCATGGTGCGACATCACCTCAAGACGCCTTTATTTAGATCTTGTCTTTCTTTTATAGTGCGAGTCAGGATGGCGTGGTGGTAACACTCGCCTCTCACCTCTGAGGTCCGGGTTACGAATCCCAGTCGCTACATGTGAGCTGGTTGGTTGGTTTTCCATCTTTCTGACTACAAAGGTTTATCCGCTTCCTCGTTTTTTCCYCYCTCCTCTCCTATCTGAAACCGACCCTTACTCAATCAAACTGGTTAGAGCTGTGCTCCGGGCGGGTCATACATAGACTTTATAGCAGCTTCAAGAGGAGCCTTCTCATTGCTTGAATCAGTTTTGCCGAGCTAGCTTGATATTGTACGTGAGTAGAGTTATTTGCATGGTTATGTCTCCCCGATTAGTAGGGCACTTGTGCCCGGCTAGAAGATTAGGGACACTAATAAAGTTAATATTATTATTATTATTATGTGCTTCGAGGGTTTTTCTCCGGGTCCTCCGGTTTTCCTCCCTCTGCAAAAATCAACTCCTAAATTTCAATTCGATCATGGAACCAGGGCAACAGGTTTGTTAGCCACTGCCTATTATGTGCTATACCCTCATAAAAACAAGGACGGTTTTTTTTTAACTCTTTAAAAAGTTTTAATTTGTTTTTTCGAAATCGTTTTCCCTAATCTTGTTCTACTTGTTTTCGCAAGTGTGAAAAAATAATTAAAACAATCCCAATCAAATTAACGGGGTAATTAGTTTTAATTAAAGATCACGATTCTTTGTGTCAAAAATATGGTAGCTATAAGACGTTTTTTGGATTACTTCAGCACACAAGGTTTTTTTATTTATCTTTCTTTATTTAAAATTTAGATAAATTTGAACTATTGCTAAGTTAAGGGCTTTCACTTAGTGGTTACTTAACCGTAATAACAGGCCAGATGACACCCTTAAAACGAGCAGCTGTGCCAAAATGCACACCAGAAATGTAAAGAGCACCTCGATATTAGGTCAAGGGCTGCTGGGCGAAGTTTGAGCTAAATTAACTTTGAGGTTTGATAAGGAAAGGTAGAATACAGGGTTGCACTTTGGACACAAGCAGCGGCGTAAAGCAGGAAATACACGCTACGCTAATCGGTTCATATTGACAAAATAAAATCGCGCGTGCAGTTTATAGAACAAATCATTATTCCAGAAACCATATGGCTACACTTCATAAGATATAATCCGTCAGATGACCTTTCAGACATTTTCTTTGAATAACTTTTTCTTGGAAACGTTTTTTAAATGATGTCATAAGATATTTATTAGAGACGGTTCTAGGAAATCTTAACTTCGATGAAACATGTCGGCATAGATTAATGGCTATGATGTCGGGGAGCGCCATCCTTGTTTCGGGTTTACCAAAAGATGTCCTTGAGAAAGACTTGCGGATCTATTTTCAAAGTAACGAAGAATCTGGTGGAGGAGATATTGATAACATTGATGTCGACGGTGAGCGAGGCGAGGCAAAGATTGAATTTGTGGAGGCTTCAGGTAAAAAAAAGTCTTGTGTCTTTTGTGTTATTTGGCGTTTCGTTCGAAAGGCGCGTTTGGTTTTTTAACCACTCGAATGCTTAAGACTGGACCCTGCATTTTAAAGATATAATATTAAAGTATATATATATATGTAGATTATATTATATATTAGATTATATTATTATGAGATTACATTATGAGATTTAGTATAGATATTGATCATAGAGTATAGAGTATAGCTATCGATCCGCTGAATCCAAGTGCMACATGTGATGCATGTAATGTATGTTTCCGCATTTCTTGTCCTCGGTTAATGTCGAAAATAAATTGAATATGATACTTGATAAAGTGCTCTTAAATAAAGCTCAATTGTCAAAAAAATCATGCATGTACGACTCTAGCAATTTATATATATATATATCTTTTTAATTGTTCGTTCAGTTTAAACGATTTTAGAAAACGGTACGAACGAAAAATGTTTATTCAATAACGTTCGAAAGTGAAAGTGAAAATAAATTGGCTTTCTTGGTGTTGCAAAGCCAAGGATAATAATTTTGGAGCTAAACAGTGCCAGGCAAAACAAAAGCCCTAACCCTAGCCAATATAAATGCAATAAAGCTTTCTCCTACACTGCTTAGAAAGATCCAAATATGAAAATCGATAACGCTATGAAAAATAAAAGCTCATCCATTTGAATAATTTTATTATAGTCATATTCATAAACGCGTCACGCTATAGCGCAGCGTAATCGTGACGTCATAAAAACGAAGACAAAGGCGAAATTCGGACAAACAAACTTACAAGTTTACTTTCAGCAGATAAHTTTCACAGCCGATCGCAGTTGATCTTAGTTTACATGGGTTATTATTGTAACTTTAAGTAAAAATAATAAAATCGGTTCGTATAAAAACAGAATGCAATGTTTGTCCGAATCTTTAAGCTATTTTTAGAATCAGTGCGCTGCGCTATTGCTTGTACTAGTATCAGTTACGTGACTTTTTGGAGTTGACTGAGGGGCAA